CAAGGAGAGTCTTTTTGAGACTTTTTGTGACTTTTCCAACAATGCCCCTCCATGCACCCATTGGCCCGCCACCCCATGGTGTTGTTTGATTGTTATTTTTTTATATACTAGAGTCAACATGGTCATTTAATAACCTCTAAGAAGGGATTAGGGACTTTTTAGTCTTTGAAAACAAACAAGGAGGAGCTTTTTAGGGACTAGAAAAAGTCCTAGAACTAGAGAACCGAACACCACCTACAGCTCGAGTTCATGGGGAATGATCACGACGCTTCGTTTTACTCCAGTTTTCAAGGACAGGGTTTTGTAGAACCCGATGTGTACCCTCAGTGTAGAAAAGAAAAAGAAAAAAAAGGCTAGGCCATACCGCATATTTTACATCATAGACGGAGGTTTTTTACATTTCAGTTCAAAGTTCCAAGTAGTAGAGGGCTAACTGGAATTGGTCTATGAATTTCATGACAATTTTACAGGCGGTCAGTCCTTTGACGGAAACACCAGGTCATCATCTGATAGCCAAATGCCAAGCTCAGGAGGTGCGCCATTCCCCATTCACAAATATGTTTGCTGATCCAAAGGCATCAAGTACATGACATACATTCTACAAAGATCGATCTAAGGCCTATCACCAGCAGACCATTCTAGCTCTAGCGCAACCGTGCGGCGGCACACACATCATCGTTTTCTCTTCCCACCTGCTGGTGCCTTCGGTGGCTTGGAGGCGATTGCCGAGCTCCACAAAGCTCTCTCAACATCCGAAGGTGTCAAGCTTTCTCCTCCTACGCTCAACTCCTTGAAGAGGAACACAAGTTGTCAGCCAAAGGATTTTCAAGTTCTACAAGTAATATTTTGAAATCACAAGGTATAATGTTGAAATTAGCACAAGGTAACAAATTAGGAACTATGTCGAGGAAATTAGCAAAACATAACGAATCCACAACCTGCGAGTATAACATGCTTTGTATCATCTTAGTAATTACTCCCTCTTGTACTAAAATGTAAGACATTTTTTGGTTTTGCATAGGGCATAAAAAACGTCTTATATTTTGTTGCGGAGGGAGTATTAATTAACCTATTGCCCTATTGTGTCATATGGAGCCTAGTTCTGGACAGATATATATGCAACTAAAAATTTGAGATGTGATCTGGATATGCATCTCATGGAAAAGAAATAATAAGCCCAATATTTTTTAATGCATTTTGTGTTACTATTTGGGAAAGGGTCGTCGAATTACAAACTAGTGCTCTTTTACATTGCTAAAATGGAACTTCTCCTAAAGCAGTATAATAACACAAATATACATTTGTATGTTCAACTCCAAACTGCTACTAGCTAAGATTAACTCATAAAACAGAGCACATTGTGACAATCAGCTATTTTTAATGTAGTTTTAGCTTGTCTAGATGGAGAGAAAGATCAAACATATTTGGCAGCATAGATTAACTGCATTTACTGAAAGTTTTCATTTTGGACTGGTGAATTAGAACTTTTAACCTATGGCCGAAATCAATTGATGATCGCTTGCAACACACAACAATAATACATCATACGCTTGCAGCTACCTGATTCAACTCAAGGCCACATTCTGCAGAACAGTTCAACCAACACAATCAAGCAAATGATGCTATCGTTGCAACATTTTCGCAGATATATCAAATGCAAGGCAACATTATACCTCTGCTTTAGCCTGCAACTTCTCCGCAAACGCAAGGTACTGCTTCAGAGTGTATTCCTTTACATTGCCCAAGGCTGCGACCATTGCCTGAACACATATCACTAAAGCTTAAAACACAAAAGGTGCAACCATATCGCCTAGAAAGGCAGATACATTGAGGAAAAAAGAACATTTGAACAAGCTCACTTCGTCTGACATGAAGGGCGCAACATCGGGTGCATAGGCAGCGAGCACCGCGGATGCAGTGGCAGGGCCAACACCCTTGAGCACAGTGAGCTCGGTGATGGCCTTGCTGAGGTCGGGCAGCGCTGCAAATGCCTTGCGTGACGCTGACTCTACAACTTTGTCATCCAAGCTTTTGACGAAATCCATCAGCCTCGGCCTAGCAACAAATGCAGAGTGAAGATTGGATATTGTTGGCCAGCAAGCACGATACTAGCACACTGCCTACATGGATCAAAATAATAAACCAAACAATTAAGATATTACTAGCAATCTAGCATCATGGTAATAATACTCCAACCAATCACATTCCTAGCATCTGTGAGCTTTATTAAGTACATTATCTTGTGCAGAAAATATGTGCTGTTGCTTCAGGCTTGTCCTTGTTGTCAATTTTGAAGACATCAACAAACCACAGTTGCGTGCAGATATACACAGTCCTTTCATGTACTAGTTTTGAATTTGTCATTCTTGTTAAAATGCACGTTTACCATAGCCCAGCATTACTTTTCTGTTTCTGCACATGATACATTAGGGACTTCAGATATCAAACTATCTCCCATCCCCTTTTACCTTGTCAGGTTGAATCAGAATAAAATGCTGTATTCAAACTGTCAAAATCCTGTTCTAAAGTCTTTCTAAACTGAGAAACAGAGAAAGAAACACCTTTAACGTAATTCGTAGGACAACTGACTTGTTACTAGCTCTGGTTGTTTGTGGGGCTTAGCTGGAACCAGGAAGAACCCAATGAACTGTGATTTCTTATCAGCTGAGCGCATATTTCTTTAAACCTGAACTGTTTATTTCTATGCCCACATTTCACTTTGGATGCTAAACCAATACTCAATATTGTCATCTGAGAGACTTTCAGCAGGAGGCACCACGCCCTCCCTAGCAAGGGGAAAACTTGAAATGCAGCTGTGCTATGCAACCGACAGGGAAAAATGGACTAGGAGCAGGAAGAGGCCCTGACCTCCACTTGCCGCGCGAGAGCTTCCACTGCATGAGCTGCACCAGCTCGGGCTTGGCGAGGTAGGGGTCCGGGTCGCGGCCGTGCAGCAGGAGGGGGAGGTCGTGGCGGTAGAAGGAGTCGGCGTCCAGGAGGTCGGGCTTGTCCAGCGCCGCGAGCCGGCGGTCGTACGCGCCCAGCGCCGCACGCCAGGCCTCCCCGTCGCCGCTCGCGAAGTCCACCGTCTCGGCCATCGCGACGGCGGCTGGAAGGGGAGAGGGGAGTGGAGTTGCCTGCAACTGCACAACAGTGAGCGGTCTCTTTTTTTTCGGGTCCATCTTTCTCTTTTGCGAAGAGCAATTTCGGCCGTCGATCTATATCGGACGGCTTAGATAGCGCCAGTTCGCAAACTTGAGGGCCACGGTCCGCAGGTCACATTCGTTGCCGGCGGCCCATGCGGCCCAATATTTTCGCGGGCCATCCATTTTCCTCATAGCTTCCAACAAAAAGAAAGCCTCCCTTAAACCCTAGCGGCAGCCGTTCGTTCCCCCGGAAGAAACCCATGGCGAAGAAGCAGAAGCAGCGCGGCTCGCTCCGGGGGGAGGAGCATGTAGAGGCGGCGGCCGCGGCGCCGCACGAGGACGCACCGGCCCCGAACGCGGAGGAGGAGGCGGCTGCGCAGGGAGCAGGGGGCGCCGGAAGCGAGGTGGAGGACGGGCGGAGCGCGGACGCTGCGAGTGGCGGCGTGGAGGAGGGGAAGGAGGAGGAGGCGGCGGCGGCAGAGGAGGAGGAGAGGGAGGTGACGTTTGATGAGCTGGGGCTGGACGAGCAGCTCAAGAGGGCCCTGAGGAAGAAGGGCTTGACCAAGACCACCCCGATCCAGCGAGAGGCCATCCCGCTCATCCTGGTGCGCTATTTCTGCCTTTCTAGCTTTCAGTCTCGCTCGTTCTGGTGGCGTTTAGTCAACAACTGATTAAAATTTAGTAAGCTCTCATTGGAACAAGTTTTAGCCTGTTTAGCCTGATAAATCAGCCAATTACAGTACTATTATGATAGCCAGCCTGCTTGCTTTCTCCGGTGAATCTTTTGGGTTAGGCGCAGCAGCCTTCTGACACTTGTCAATGCAAGCCGGACTGAATTAGAGTTGGGTTTAGTGAAGCTCTACTCATGATTGTGGTAGCCATTTAGTTCAAAATGCAACTGTTTGATTTCCCGTAGTTCGTGGTACTGAATGACGGCCTAATGTTGCGATTCCAGGAAGGGAAGGATGTGGTCGCTAAGGCCAAGACTGGTTCTGGAAAGACCTTTGCCTACCTTCTCCCGCTGCTGCAAGAGCTGTTGAAGTTGTGCAAAGATGGGCGTATTCGGAAATCTGCACCAAATGCCTTAATCCTGGTGCCAACTCGCGAGTTATGCCAGCAGGTATCTGACTTCTGTTTCTTCGCAGGATATTTTGTATGTGTATAGGCAGCTGCTGTAGAGTCGCTTATTGATTTATCTCTAGTTAATATTACGTCCTGATTCATGCACGATAATATGAATTGTTCTTCTATTTGATGCTGCATGTAGTGAGAGTTGCGAGTTGAATGTTAGACCTGCTAATTACTTCAGTGATTCATATTACAATCTACTAGTGCATTGCGAATAAACTTTTACTTATGTTAAATATTATGATATGACTAGTCATTGCCAAATACCTCACTGTTGCTTTTTTTTTCTTTTCTTCTTGCTGTAGGTTTATAATGAAGCATCATCTCTCCTTGAGTTGTGTACATCCAAGTTGAAGATTGTTCAAGTGACCGCGAGCATGTCAGATAAGGATATTGTGAGACATTTTTGCCTTGTTTGAGTTCGACTGTTATTTTCTCCAAACAGTATCAATTTTGTAGGGTTATATTTATTAGCCCAGCTAACTTGCTTGTGCTTCTTGTTACTTGCAGAAACTTGCATTGTCTGGGCCCCCTAATATTCTTGTGACAACCCCAGCTTGTGTTGCAGCATGCATATCAAAGGGCATTGTCCAGGGATCATCTATTAAAGAGTCACTTTCAATGATGATTCTTGATGAGGTGCAATTTGTTTGCCTGTTGCAGTATTTATGCTTAGTCTTGGAAAGATTTTATCCCAACAAGGAACGAACAAGTTCCTTATGGGTTTGAAATATCAAATTATGTTGTCTCTTCCCATATACAAAAACATAACATAGCTGTCGAAGTTGTGGATCTATATTATTTTACAAAATAGTATTCAGGGGTTTTGAATTTTCAGCTTCAAGTTAAAAACTGTTTAATTGAGTCGTTTACAGTATTAGTGCCTATGCTGCCTGAATGATACTGTCATGTGCCACTGCAAATATGGGGATTTGATTTATGGTAATGGAGAATTGAGAACATTTTCTATGCCAGTACCCAGTGTTGCCGTTTACAGAAATGTAGGGAAAGGCTGCGTACTATAGACCCAAAGTGGTCGGACCCTTCCCTGGACCCTGCGCAAGCGGGAGCTACATGCACCAGGTTGCCCTTTTTTTTTACCCAGTGTTGCCGTTTAAACTATACCATGTTTTAGAGTGGCGTGTTTCAAATATCTACTGTCATGATTTTTAACATACTTATATTGGCAAATATATGTTACATTACAGTTTTGTGTATAAAATTTCATACAATTGTCGTGATGTATCAGAATGCCTGAGAAATGTTCTTTTGAAGAAGTTACTAATCTCTTAATGGTTAGCTCCCAGGCTGACCTTCTCCTATCCTATCGCTGCGAAGATGACTTGAAGGCACTTGTCCCACATATCCCAAGAAGTTGCCAATCCATCCTGATGTCTGCAACTTCAAGGTGAAATTTGGTTCTTCTTGCTTCGTTTTTCTGCAGTTATTCAAAACATCTTAATTCCGCAGTCTGCACTGGTAACAGCTCTAAGCATCTCACTAGCATTTGAATCGAGTGAATGGAGCTGGCACTTCAGTTTGTGGATATTTAGCTGTTCCCTGAGTTACCTTGCTGATTCTCTTAGGGTGTGTTTGGTTGTGGAACGAAGTGGAATGGAATGTAACGGTTCCATGACAATAGATGGAATGGAATGGTTACATTTTAGCGTTTGGTTGGTGAGACAGAATAAAACGAATTTAGTTCATTTTGATAATATGCACATACAAGCATGGTAGATACACGATATCAAACATATCTTATGACTATTCCTCTTGCATCAATACATTTCTACAAACAAAAAGAAGCATTTACATAGAAGAAGCAAGAATATATGAAAGCTACGATCTGCTACCGCTCCTCTGCCTCCAGCAAGAAAAATCATCGC